TACAGGGTGGCTATTATTTTTATCATTCTCCCTCAACAAATAAGAAGGAAATGAAGTGACAAGATTGGCACCCTGTTCAGTGTTCACAGTCACTGAGGGGAAGGGACAGGATTACAACCTGCAGGCCATCAGGCTCCAGAACCAGCACTCTTACCCAACAACCACACTGTCTCTTTCATTCCTCATAACATTTTATGTATGTGTGTTACTTTGCTCATTATACAGATGCATAAACAGGTTCAGAGACGCAAGTTAACATAGCTAGTCAGTAGCACTCAGCAACATTAGAGTAGCTTTTCTTCTGCTTTGTCTCACCAACTCTTCCTGCCTTGCGTCTGCTATTTCTCAAATTAATGTAGACTCCCTCAATTCTTCCCTCCCTCTAAATGAAGGCATTCCCCATAGATCCATGCCAGATCTTCCAGTTTTATTTTTATGTAGCTACTTGTATTTTTACTATTTCAATTTTTACTCAATTTAAACAACTTTAAAAATTATAATTTTAGACAAAATGTCTTTCTATACCCAGAGCTCCAAATGCACAATGTACAATTTTCATCCAAAACCATGTTTGCCACATAAACATAACACATCTTTCTCCTAGAATTTGTTTAATTATCTTTAAGAAATTTGCATTTTGTTCTCAGTTATTCAGACCTGAAACCTCTCCATTGTAACAGCTCCCATTTATGATTATCTGTCACACCTTTCTCTTCCTTCTTTTTTGTCCGCTGCTTTATCCCAAATAATAATGGATACATACCAATTATTCTGTAAATTTTTGCTGAAAAAATTTATCAATAGGTTCTTACATTAGTCTAAGAGTTCATACCCCTATCACTGCACACCAGTAGCAACTCCAAAATCCCCAACTGCTCTCTGTCATTCAATAAGTCCCTGTCTTCAAGACAGAATCCACACTGCTGTTAAACAGCTCTTATAAAAATGGCTTTTCGATTTCCCCAGGAAAAATACAAAGCCTTCAACCTGGCATTTGGGGGTCTCACAATCAGGTTTCAGCGAACAACTTCAGGTTTGCACGCAGTCATTTCCTTCCACTTTCATGTTCTTCAGGATCTATTTCAAATGTCACTTCAAATCAGACATCATAACTTTAAGAGATGTAGAGGCCCCTACTTTTGTGTTTGGCTTTGGCAAGAAAGTATAGATATTGTTTGTACTAGATAAGTTAACAATGGCAATTTTAATTGATAAATGTAAGTATCTTGGTACCACAGTAAAAGTTTTTCTTATCCAATTTTTAATACCACTCAGGGATTCAACATTTTTGCTTATGCACTTCTCCAGTTTTCATACTTGCTCCTAAGACTCAGGAGAAACCAAAAACTAGTACTACTTAAGAATGAATAGACATACTATGGTAAATGACAATGAGGTTTGAAATAAAGCAACAAAAGGATTATTATACTTAGTGAAAACAAATTCCATATATAGTGCTCCCTTAACCAAAACTCAGTGAGTGTTTGGTGCAATTATTATCTTTATTTTACAAATAACTTAAGCCTCAGAGAGTTGAAGTGGCCTTCAACCTGGCATTTGGGGGTCTCAATATCTAAATAACTGATGTGCTGGTAAATGATAGCTCTGGGATTTATAGTTAGATAATCTATACCTAATGCCCATTTATTAGTGGCACCATACACTTAAAATGATATAAATAAAACTGAAGGTGGAATAATTTTAGGCCATAGGATACATAATGAAATTGTAAAGGCAAAAGGCTCTACCTCTGAAACTTAAAGGCTGCTTATTCTATAGTATCACAAATGCCTCAGAAGTCTCTGGTTAACCACATCATCATTCTATGATATTTAAAAAGATATGCAATCCTCTAACTGACTCTCAGATTATATCCTCATTTAGGATAACATGGCTATACTCATGATTACAGTGAAATTAGGCAGTAGGTCATACACAGTGTGGGCCTTAGAATAGGGGAGGTCCGATTTTGAATTTTGACTCTGTATTAGTGTGCTCTCACACTGCTAAAATGAACTATTGAAAATGGGTAATTTATGAAGAAAAGATGTTTAATTGACTCAGCTCCACAGGCTTAATAGGAAGCATGACTGGGAGGCCACATGAAACTTACAATCATGGCAGAAGGTGAAGAGAAAGCAAGCATGCCTTACCATGTTGTAGAATAGAAAGAGCAAAGGGGGAATTGTCACACAATTTCAATCAGTCAGATCTCGTGACAACTCACTCACTATCAGGAGAGCAGCAAGGGGGAAGTCCACCCCCATAATTCAGCAACCTCACAGCAAGCCTCTCCTCTGACACATGGGGATTACAATTCCAGATGAGATTTGAGTGGGGACACAGAGTCAAACTATGTCAGATGCTATCACTTAACTTGGGCAGGTTATTTACTTCTTTATTTGTACAAATAGAATATTAAGACCTACCTCAAATTGTTGTGAGGACAAAATAAATAAAGCAATTAAAGGGTCCTGTAAAATGAATGCTAGGTACTTAATAGGTTTTTATTAAGGAAAAGGTAATATCTTGACTGAAAAATGTTTAAATAATACTTTCTTACCTTCATAAAATTTTTAATGTAAGATTTTAAATTTAACATGCGAAGTCTGAAATTTAGATGAAGGGTTTTTGTCAAATCTTGATTTTGCACGGTTGTTACAGTTCCCTTGCAAAGAATGCTAAAATCAACCTATGCTAAAAGCAATCACGTGTCAAGTTGTTATTTGGAAAGCACAGAGAGTCATTTAAACAAGCATAGTATTAAAACGCATTATGAAAAAGAGGATGCTGAGTATTGCCAACCTCCAGTAAAATTAACTTCAAGCTTCATTTAAAAAAATGAATGTCGGCCGGGCGCCGTGGCTCAAGCCTGTAATCCCAGCACTTTGGGAGGCCGAGGCGGGTGGATTACGAGGTTAAGAGATCGAGACCATCCAGGTCAACATGGTGAAACCCCGTCTCTACTAAAGATACAAAAAAAATTAGCTGGGCATGGTGGCGCCTGCCTGTAATCCCAGCTACTCGGGAGGCTGAGGCAGGAGAATTGCCTGAACCCAAGAGGCGGAGGTTGCGGTGAGCCGAGATCGCGCCATTGCACTCCAGCCTGGGTAAAAAGAGCGAAACTCCGTCTCAAAAAAAAAAAAAAAAAAAAATGAATGTCTATGTATGCAGATACTTTAAAAATTCTCCTATGCCAAATACTGTAAAAATAAAAATGATAATTTGAAAGCTTTAGACAGATGATGTCATTTGTCTTAATTTAGTTGTTTTCTAAAATAAAAGGTTATTTCATTTATGCATATAGTTTGTTTCTCCAGACCTGTTTTCTCACCTTTCTATATTTATTATTTTTATCTCTGAGGTTGCCCCAGTTAGAGAGAATGCTACAATATACTTAACTTTTAAAATATTTAGGATACCTGACCCAAAGAAATTGGCTGAAGTGAAGCAACTATGATTGTTGCTTTAGTGCACAATTTAAACTGATCGACCTTTCAAGTAAATGTTAGAGGCACTCATAAGTCACTGGCTTTAAAGGAAACACTTCATCCTTGTGAAGGTCGGGGGCCTGGCATATTACAGTTAGTTTACCAGATGGCTGAATTCCATAGAATAAGTTACAACCCAGGTGTTAGAAATTCTTTTATAAATTTACATCCCACAGAGTGCCTTGTTAACATACATGTTAATGTTGACCATGCACACAGAATTTTATTTTCATTGTTCACTACATTTAGCCAAAACAATGATTGTCATCTACAATGCTTCTCTTTTTTTTTTATTTTTTATTTATTTTTTTATTTTTGATTGCATTTTAGGTTTTGGGGTACATGAGCAGAGCATGCAAGACAGTTGCGTAGGTACACACATGGCAGCTTGTTTTGCTTCCTTTCTCCCCTTCACCCACATTTGGCATTTCTCCCCAGGTTATCCAATGCTTCTCTAATCAACACTTAACAAAGGAGACATAACAGGCAAAACGGAGCAGTTTTGTCAGAGGCCTTGTATAGGCACCTCAGACACATCAGGGAATGGAATGTCTAGAGGTTTAAATTGTCATGATTATTCTCATTCTCTTCAAACTCTGCTTTGTGATCCATAATTTTGATCAATCCCTCTCTCCCTTCTACAAGCCATATATAAAGTGCTGTGTCAAGTGCTACAAGCAGTATAAGTACGGCTTGGCTTCTCCCTGATGGCATTCACAGATATTCATTGCAATGTTTTATGCAGTTTCTTTCCTGCCTTTATTCCCGTAAAACATTAAGCCATGTGTAAAGAATCCAGACTTTCATACTGATGATCAGCTACTCAGAGGAGAACTGAGCCCTTCTACATGAAAGTCAACACCAACTGTCAGCACATATGAGGCCACCTTGGACTTTCTAGCAGATGGTATTATCCAACAGAATATAACTCCATTACATTCTGAACACAGGTGAAACCAGGTGATTCAGGAGAAAGCAGCAGAAAATGCTCAACCAAACCACAAAGTAAAAAACACTAAATTAGCATTTTAAGCCATTAGGTTTTAAAGAGTTTTATTACATGACATAAATAATTCATTAAATATCACTCTATAGTACTTATAATTTTCAATATATGGTATCTTCTGAGTCAGGATCAACAAACATTTTCTGTAAAGGGCCCAACAATAAGAACTTCAGGTTTTGAGAGCCATATGGTCTATGTCATACCAACTCAATTTAGTCCTTGCAGTGCAAAAGCAGCTATAGATAGTAGGTAAATAAACTGCAAATAGTTTTATTGTGTTCCAATAAAACTATTTACAAAAGTAGGCAGATGAATGGATTTGGTTTATAGGCATAGTTTTCTGAATCTTGTTCTAAGTTGACAGTCTAGAATAACGTATATAATTCTCATCTCACAGTATGCATTCAATTATTAATAGTCTATTGTCTTTATAAAATTCTGAATGGAAAGAAATCTTGCAGGCTTTGTTATAAATAATATCAAGCTGGCACAGTGACACATACCTGTAAACCCAACACTTTGGGAGGTCAAGACAGGAGGATAGCTGGAGGCCAGGAATTTGAGATCAGCCTGGGCAACACAGTGAGATCACATCTCTACAAAAGAAAAAAAAAAGCATTATCAAGACCAATTATAATAGTCAACATCCTAGTGTGCAGAGTAGTTGTTATGCCAAATCCCTATTGATTCTAGTAGAGATGGCACCTAATTCAAGAGGCTGAAGAAAAGACTCAGAGACAGCAAATGAGACATGGGGCTTTACTTGGGGCTTACATACAGTGGAGAGAGTCGAGTGGTGATGGACTGGGCAGGAGAAGACATGCAGTTAATGTAGTATTCTCAATTCCCTAACAACCTACACCTATCAACTTTGAGTCAAACCAGAACTTAATCCCTTGATCTTCTATATGACCCATTCTCCATGGGACATGTCAGGGGCTCAGATGTTCCTCACAGAAAAGGAACAAATCTCCAGGCTGGCCACTCCCGGTTTCTTAGCTTGGAGCACACATTCAGAAGACTCTGCCATACAGAGTCATTCTTAGAATACACTTTCATTATTGCTATCAGGTGCATTTACCATACAGGGGTTAAACCAGGTCAACATCCTCAATGCAGAGTATTGTACAGAACTCAACAAATGTAATTATTTTTCATTATACCTGTTTTCTAAAATCATAGTATTGCTATATATAATAGAGTAACAGAAATTTGAAGACAACAACAAAAAAATAATTGAATTGATCAGACTTTCAGCTTTCTTAAAATTAGCAAGAACAAACATAAACATAAATTAATGTGAACTTAAGAAACCTAACAAGTGGCCAGGCGTGGTAGCTCATGCCTGTAATCCCATCACTTTGGGAGGCTGAGGCAAGTGGATCAACTGAGTTCAGGAATTTGAGACCAGCCTGGCCAACATGGTGAAACTCCATCTCTACTAAAAATACAAAAATATTGGCTGGGCATGGTGACACAGCTACTTGAGAGGCTGAGATAGGAGAATCGTTTGAATCTAGGAGGCAGAGGTTCCAGTGAGCCGAGATCATACCACTGCACTTCAGCCTGAGTGACAGAGGGAGAATCCGTCTTAAAAAAAAAAAAAAAGCAACAAGCTATTCCAACAGAATGTGTCTAAGGATATAGAAAGGGCCTAAGTCACATGACCTAGTGTTTGTGTCTAAGAATACAGTAAGGGCATAAGTCACATGACCTAGCACCATGTGTTGATTAACAAAAATGTATGTGGCCAGGCGTGGTGGCTCAAACCTGTAATCCCAGCACTTTGGGAGGCCAAGGCGGTGGATCATGAGGTCAAGAGATCGAGACCATCCTGGTCAACATGGTGAAACCCTGTCTCTACTAAAAATACAAAAAATTAGCTGGGCATGGTGGCGTGTGCCTGTAATCCCAGCTACTCGGGAGGCTGAGGCAGGAGAATTGCCTGAACCCAGGAGGCGGAGGTTGCGGTGAGCCAAGATTGTGCCGTTGCACTCCAGCCTGGGTAACAAGAGCAAAACTCCCTCTCAAAAAAAAAAAAAAAATGTATGTAAAAGATCCTTTGAGTGAAATCCTATTTACTTCCCTCTTGAAACACCATTTGACATCATTTTATGTAGCATTTCTAAATATCATTTTATATACAAGTTAGATATATCAAAGAACAAATCAAAGCAATTAGAGACCCAAATAACCTTCCCATTGTGGGGGAAAAAAAAGAACTGTAGAGACCAGACTGACAGATACTGAGCGTATAAATGCTCCTTCTTGCATGCTACTGAAATTCTAAGTGAATTAAACAATTGGCTCTTTCAACAAGTCTCCCCTGTCTACAAAATATACAGGCAGCATAGAGAGATGACACTGAGACTGAGACTAATTGATTTGAGTTAATAACTGTTTCTATAGAGGTAATTTCCTAGAGTTTCCACTGGCCTCTCTTTTCACGTTTGAGTGACTGACACAAACGAAAGTACTTGCAATTTTAATAGTCACTGAGTAATTGATGAAAACTACTTCTCTTTTGCCACCTGCACATGAATAAATAGAACACAAGAGACAGTTCAAAAACACTGAAGTACATCCGGAAATCTAGAAGATAAAAGCATCTCAAATCACTGAGGAAAAATACACTTTTTAATAACTCGTGGTAGGCAACCTGACAGAAATTTTGAAAGAGACAATTGAACCAATATCTTGTAAAATATACAAAAGTAAATTCCAAATAAATTAGAACTCTAAAAAAACAAAATAGAATAAGCTATGCCATTGCTAGAAAAAAAACAAATTATTTTTTAATCTGAAGATGAGAACAAACTACGACTCAAAAAAATCAATGAAAGAAATATATAATAAATTCAATGACATTTAACTACTTATGCAAAGTGAAAAACACTGGAGATAATGTCAAAAAATAAATGAAAATTGAGGAAATGTTTCAAAATAGATCAATGATAGAGGATAATCTCTGTAGCACACAAAAAAAGCTCATACCACTTAAGGAAAAAAATTTAAAAATCAAAAATACAATTTAAATTAAGCAACAATCTAAATGACAATTCACAAAATAGATACACAAATAGCTCTTACATCTATAAAAAGACATTCATCTTCCCCCACAATAGTAATGAAAATAAAAACTACACTGACATGTCATTTCTCACCCATAACATTAGCAGATATTCCAACGCTCAGCAAACCTACCCTACAAGTGAGGCTGTTACTGGAGGGAGGGCCTTGAGTGAGTGTGGTCCAGGTTCCTGGTGTTTTGAAGAAGAACTGGACAAAATGCACAAAGTAAATAAGGAAGAAACACAGGAATGAAGCAGTGAAAGCAGGGATTTACTAAAGCGAGAAATCATAGGGTGGGAGTGGAATCCAGCAAGAGGCTCAAGCGCCAGGTTACAAAGTTTTCTGGGTTTTAAGACTCCTTTTGAGGTTCCCATTGGTTATCCCTTATCTGGATAAATGATTTGGTCTGTGGCTAATTAAAGGCTGAGGTGAACAGGTGCCCTATGCAGATGAAGGGATGGTACTTGCTTAGCACGTGGCTAATCTAAGGCACTCTCTCTTTCCATCTGAGACTTGGTGGAATGGGGAGGTCTATAGGGAGAATAGCATTTGATTCTCTTACTAGGCCTAGGGGAATGGTTTTTTTTTTTGGTTTAGCTTTAGGAAGTTTAGAAAACACCCAGATCCAGGTGTTTTCCTTTTGTTCCAGCTTTGGAAAGTGAGCACAAATTGGCCTCAGATTCCCTGCCCCCAAACCTTGGTGTTTTTTTTCTTGATTCAGCAAGAATTGGTTTTAAGCTCCCCTCCAAACCCTGTTCTGTTGAAAAACAGGCACTTTTGTGTGTGTGTTAGGATTACAACCCTTCTGGAGAGAAACTTAGCAATATTTAACCAAACTACAAACCAATTTACAATTTACCCTGCTATCCCACTTCTAGAAATTTATCCTAAAGGCCCATCTGCAGGAGTAAGAAAAAAAAATGCATATTCTTCTTCACAATGGCATTATTTATAATAGCAAAACATTAAAAACAAGATCAATGCCAATAATGGAAGACAATAAATAAAGTGTAACTTATCCACACATTTATATAAGAGGGAATAATTATCACACAGTTGACAAAAAGAATTAAGATTATCTCTATGACTAATTTGAAGTGATTTCCAAGATGTAATGTTAAGTGGAAAAAGAAAATTGCAAAACACTATATATGGCATGCTACATTTTATGTAAGAAAGGAGATGAGAATGGTATGTGTGTGTAAAAACTATAAACATACACATATGTGAACTTTTATATGTATGTATACTTGCACACATACAGATGTTTGTGTCTGTGTATATGCATACTTATTTTGCAAAAAGGAACATATGAGAAGATAAACAAAAATGAGTCAACCACTGACAGGGAGTAGGTAGGACCACAGTGAAAAATGACAGAGAAACAATATGAATTTTCTTAATATTGTACAGTTTGATTTTTGAACCACATTAATATTTGACATCTTCCCCTTCAAAATAACCAACAGATGGGAAAAAAATTATAATTAAATATGAACAGAAACAAATAAATATATTTTAAGTCAATAGCACGAACATACAGAAGAAAGAAATGAAAGATGAGTCAGACAACTTTTGAACAAGTCAGTACTTTGACTATACATCATCAATGGGATATATTTTAAGGACGAAAATGCAAATAAGTCTTAAATTTTAATAACAGTTTTTTTGTAATAGTATTAGGACAATGATTCTGAAACTAATGTGCATTATAATATCAAGCAAATGATAAAAATATATTAAAGTTTTGGAAAACTAGTGTTTATGTGAAAAAGGAGAAATACATGGAATAGGGAAAGGAGTAGGACTTCGTGGTATAAGATGAAAACTAGAATATCATTATGAACTCAAGATTTTCAAAATATATATTTTTTCTAGCTTTGTAGAGGAATGGACGAAGAAATTATGACAAGGAACTACAGGACACACTTGATCTTGGTTTTTAAATCTCCTTCATCACTTAAATAGCCAGCATTCCTTGTGTTAGCAGTAGCAGAGATCTGAGTTACCCTGAGTTACTAGCGGTGTATCCAAGTGGGTCTGCAACAACTTCAGTTCTTGCCTCCTCAGAAGAAAATTCGACTGAGGGGCGTAAAAAAGAGAAAGAGACCGAGGCAAGTCCAGAACAGGAGTGGAAGTTATTTAGAACAGGAAAGAAAGGGAAGACCCCTTGCGAGAGACCCACGTGGGCGCCTGAAGGTCAAAGAGAGAGAAAAAGAACGGGAAGAGGGAGGGCGTTTAACCTTGATCCTGGGACTTTATATACTCACCTCTTTTCAGTGATTCTTCCTTTAGGGTGGGCCTTTTGCACTCACAGTGATCTTCTTACCCTTGGGAATTGAGCATGCGCAGTGTGTTTAGGAAGTTGTACGCATGCCCATCTGAGACTTTTTCTTTTTCAGGCGGAGTGTACCTGGAAGATCATACTTTTTGCTATTTTGTCTCTTAATGTTCATGCCAGGGAAGTTGCTTCTCCCTGGGGTGTGCCTCTAATTAACACTTTAGTATTAACAGATGGGGAATC